CGGGGCAGGCACAGAGCGCGGCCTTGTGGGGGCCAGGAGAGGGTGCAGAGGAGGTGGCCGCGCTCAATGAGGCCCTTTGTCCCCTGCCCTCCCGCCCTGCCCCCAGCAGCCTTCTGTTGGGCCATTGTCCCCCCTCCGGGACAAGAGAGTATTCTCTGCCGTCGCGCTGCCATTGCTGGGGGAGGGGCGGTCTTTGGGCCGCCGCCTGCACCCCGTCGCCCCTGCCCCTCAGCCTGGGCAGAGCCCATCTCCAGAGAGGACGTCACCCGAGGTGCCAAGGGCGGCAAGGCAGGCCGAGGACCCAACAGAGCACCCGCTCGCCCATTGTCCCCCCTCCGGGACAAGAGAGTATTCTCTGCCGTCGCGCTGCCATTGCTGGGGGAGGGGCGGTCTTTGGGCCGCCGCCTGCACCCCGTCGCCCCTGCCCCTCAGCCTGGGCAGAGCCCATCTCCAGAGAGGACGTCACCCGAGGTGCCAAGGGCGGCAAGGCAGGCCGAGGACCCAACAGAGCACCCGCTCGCGCAAGAGCCAGGCCAGGGCCGGGAGGGAGCAGGGCTGACATCCTCTCCTCTCACAGAGCAGAGGCTTCTCCCGAAAGAGCCACACGTTCCTGCCCAAGGTCTTCCTCCGCAAGATGTCATCTGCGGGCGCCAGGGACAAGCCCGAGCTGCAGTTCCCATTCTTCCAGGACGAGGCCACGGTGGCCACGCTGCACGAGTGCAAGACCCTCTTCATCCTGCGCGGCCTTCCGGGCAGCGGCAAGTCCACGCTGGCACGGGCCATCGTGGACAAGTACCGCGACGGCACCAAGGTGGTGTCGGCCGACACCTACAAGATCACGCCTGGCCCGCGGGGCCCCTTCTCGGAGGAGTACAAGCGGCTGGACGAGGACCTGGCCGCCTACTGCCGCCGTGACGTCCGAGTGCTGGTGCTGGACGACACCAACCATGAGCCCGAGCGGCTGCAGCAGCTCTTCGACCTGGCCGACCAATACCAGTACCAGGTGCTGCTGGTGGAGCCCAAGACGGCGTGGCGGCTGGACTGTGCCCAGCTCAAAGAGAAGAACCAGTGGCAGCTGTCAGCCGACGACCTAAAGAAGCTCAAGCCCGGCCTGGAGAAGGACTTCCTGCCGCTCTACTTTGGCTGGTTCCTGACCAGGAAGAGCTCCGAGGCGCTTCGCAAGGCTGGCCAGGCCTTCCTGGAGGAGCTGGGGAGCCACAAGGCCTTCAAGAAGGAGCTGCGACACTGTAGGTGGCTTGGGTGGGACCGAGGCTGCCCTGCTGGCTGGAGGTGGCCTTGGGCCCGGGAGCCAGGACAGAGCAGGGCCGGCGCTCTCCTCTGGCCTCCCTCCTACACCCCTCCCTGGCGGGTCCAGTTCCCCGTCATCCCCGTCGTGGGTGGCCACGCCACTCACAGCAGTGAAGGCCCTGTGACGCACAGCGCAGTGGGAGCGTCTGGCCCGGTGTTGCCAAGTGCAGTTTTAGCAGAATCGTGTTCCATACACAACACGGGATCCCAGCTGGCTGTGGTGACTTCCTGGGGACGGCAACCAAGCTGTGTGTGCGTCCCCTGCGGCACAGCATGGTCTCCAAAACCAAGTGTCACACCTAGTCGGAAACCCCCTTGCTTTCCAGATGGCAGGGAGGCCAGGCCTGAGCTGTGATGCGTGCCACCCTGCGCCAGCACTCTGGCAGTCCCGTCTTAGGTGCTGTGTGGGCCTGACACACCTGCTGCCTCTGTGGCCCTCGCCCTCCTGCAGGTGGCTCGTGTGCAGGGTCCTGGGCTCCTAAAGCTTGAACTCTGCAGCCAGCCAGCCCTGGTTCCTCTGAGAGGAAAACACAGGTGCTTTCCCGCCGGGGAGCGTGAGGGACGGGAGGACACTCACACCTGAAGGCCATCACGAGGCTGAGAGTGTCACCCACTATCCCCGGGCTGCTGTCTGTGCCCGGCCCTTCCCCGATGGACCTGCTAACTTGGCTGAGGCAATCTGTCCCACTGTCTATGGAGTAAGGGTCAGCTGCTCATCTGAGACCAAAGGGCTGGCGAGTACGGTGCTGTCCACTGTACCCCATTTCCTGCACCCCAGCTCTCGTGACTTGCTGTCCCTGTCCCTTCTGGGGCTGCCGCTGCCACCTCAGTCCTGTGCTTGCACTACTTGCTCCAGGTCCCAGGTGCCCTGAAGCCTTGGGCAATGATAGATGTAGACAGCTGTACCACCTGGGTTTCAGTTTGGGTTTGTGGTGCTAGGACCAAGCCCAGGGCCTGGTGCGTGCTAGGCAGGTGCCCTTCTGACGAGCAAAACCCCGGCAAGGAACCCTGCAGCGGGTGGGGGTCCAGAGTCCAGCTCGGCCCAGCCTGGAGTGGGGGACTGAGTCGGACTGACTCCGCTTCCCCCCGCGTTGTCCGTCCCTCTGCAGTCCTCTCGGGGGATGAGCCCCGGGAGAAGATCGACCTGCTCACCTACTTTGGGAAGAGACCCCCAGGTGTGCTGCACTGCACCACCAAGTTCTGCAACCACGGAAAGGCACCGGGTGCTGACGAGTACGCGCAGCAGGATGTGAGTGCTCCTGGCCCTGCTGGCCCTGCTCACCCTCTTGGGGGCCACAAGAGTGGTGGCCCCAGGTGCGGGTGGCCTGGGATGGAGTACAGACCCCAGCCCGCCACACATGGCACCCACGGCCCTGGCTGACCCCCAGACCCAGGCCTCCCCGCCCCAGCTCTGCTGGCTGCTGTCCCCTCTCCTGGCCGCTCCTCACGGCCTGCAGTCCTGGGTCCCCGTGCCATAGCACAGCAGGGTGATGGTGCAGGTGACGGCTGCCGTCTCCGTGAAGTGCCCATCACCGGCCTGAGAGCAAAGCTCAGCGGTGTCACAGCAGGAACTGTACTTGGTGTCACAGAGGGGCAGGGAGAGCGGAGCTGGCAGTGCTGTCGTGCCCACATCCCCACGGTGACCGTGAGGGGTGTGTCACCCCATGATGGGCTTCTGTGCAACGCCAAGGCGACAGCCAGCAGGGTCCCGTGTCCCCTGCAGGTGGTGAAGAAGTCCTACGGCAAGGCCTTCACGTTGACCATCTCCGCCCTCTTTGTGACGCCCAAGACCGTGGGAGCCCGCGTGGAGCTGGGCGAGCAGGAGCTGCAGCTGTGGCCGGGCGACGTGGACAAGCTGTCCGTCTCCGACAACCTGCCCCGCGGCAGCCGCGCCCACATCACCCTGGGCTGCGCGACCTCTGTGGAGCCATTGCAGACGGGGATCGACCTGCTGGAGATCGTGCGGCAGGAGAAGGGGGGCAGCCGGGGCGAGGAGGTGGGCGAGCTGCCCCGCGGGAAGCTCCTCTCCCTGGGCAGCGGGCGCTGGGTGCTGAGCCTGGCCAAGAAGGTGGAAGCCAGGGCCATCTTCACGGGCTACTATGGGAAGGGCGAAGCGGTACCCACGCACGGAAGCCGGAAGGGGGGCGCCCTGCAGTCCTGCACACTGCTCTGAGGGTCCCCACACCCACTCCACCTTGTGTTTCCAGACCCTTTTTTTTACTTAAAGTTAACCTACTTGTAACTTTAAACCGTGTGAAGTAACCGCAGTCCGTGCCCAGCTGCCCCCTTCCTGCTAATACTGGAGCCTCCGCAAGCCCGACCCCAGGTCCGTACCCACAGATGCTGCCACACACAGCAGGGCCTGGATGGGGCCTAGACCTGGGCCACGATCACCCTGGCCCTGCAGGGTGCAGAAGGGGTTTCCCCTCCCGCCTCATGTCTGCAGTCCGCCCCTTCCTGCGCACAAGTGGTAGCAGTTTGCTAGGCAGGGAAGGAAACGGAACCGAAAGCAGCAGCCTCGGCTGCAGTAGCCTCGGCCTCCCCCCGTGGCACCCCTGAGGCCTCCAGGTGTCCTGTGCAGGGCTGTGGCAGAAAGCACCTCGCCTACTGGGCCTAAGCCCAGGTGTGGGCCGTGGTCCCGGTAACGGGCCTTGCTAATTGCTGTCATCAGCGCAGTGCTGGGGTGCGAGTCACTGTCCCATCCTGCCGGCCTTGGCGACTTGTAGACTGACAACAAAATAAACTGTGTTAATCCCAGCTGTGTGCGGTGTGGTCTTGGCGGGTGTGCGGGGCTGGCCTTGTCCGTGGGCCCCGTCCCCTGGGCGGGCTGGGCGGGCGCTGAACAGAACCAGCTTTCAAGAACAGGAGAGGTGGATTCAGGCCTCCATGGCAGGACTGGCTGGGAGCTGGGGATGAGCGTGGTCTCCTCTCCGCATCCCTAGATCTCTGTGAGTCCAGCACGGGGACAGCAGGGCCCTGAGCCTCTTAGCTCCAAGCTGGGGCCGAAGTGGGAGAAGGAAGCAAAGGAGCTGGGGACAGACGGAACAGGAACGTGTCGTCCTGGCCGCCCGCGTGTCTGTGGGCAGAGCACGGCAGCCCAGGCCTTGTGGACCAAGACTGTGCCACCTACTTGAGCACAGGAAGCCGGTGTGGCCCTGTTTGCGGGACCAGTGTCTTGCACTGGAGCCTGTGGGGATGGCAGGATGGGCCCGTGGCAGGGTCCGCTCTTGTGTCCACCCACGCCGTGCCAGCCACCCGGCCTCGCCAGGCCCAGCTCTGCCAGACTGAGTGGGCATGAAGCAGCTGCCAGAGCCAAGGGCCAGAAACAGTCACAATGTTTTATTTTCTCCACTTTTTCCTTTTTTAATAAAGTTAAACAGTAAAACAAAGATTCACAAGCTGCCTCCCCATCTGTGGCTCGGCTCCCTCTGCCCCGCTCACACCACAGAGACAGCAACAGCAACCACACAGCCGGCTGAGGGGCAGAGCTGCGGGTACAGGGCCAGGACGGGGAGGCGCCATCCACACGAGGCGGGCAGGCGGAGACTGCGTGCAGGGCCGGCAGGGCCTTCATTAGCCAAACTGGAAGAAGAAATTCCCGGGCCCGGACGCTGGAAGGCAAACGGCTGCTCAGCCGACCTGGGCTTGGGTCTGAGGCCGCTGTCCGGGTGAGGACTTGAGCCAGACACAGAGCCCGGGGGCCCTGCCCCGCGGGATGGGACCCGCTGCGCCCTCCGACCCCCAGGAGCACCCACCTTCGAAGCTGAAGCCCCCAGGACCCCCGAAGAAAGCCTTGAAGATGTTGTTGGCGTCGAAATCTGGCCAGCAGCAGGGGAGGGGAGAGCACACGTCAGGTCTGCGGGCTTCTGCCAGCACCCGCCCTCCCGCCCGCCCCAGGACAGGGGAGGCTGAGGGGACGAAGCTTCCCCACTCCCAGCCCCGGGCCACCACGTGTGCTGTCCCTGTGCTGCTCAGAGCGTCAGGGCCGGGCTCCTGCCAGCCCCCGCCCCCCCGCCCGCCCCAGGACAGGGGAGGCTGAGGGGACGAAGCTTCCCCACTCCCAGCCCCGGGCCACCACGTGTGCTGTCCCTGTGCTGCTCAGGCTGCCACCTGTCACATTTATGCTACCGTCGACCTAGAACAAGTCCGCCTCTCCCTGCAGCTGGCCCAGTCAATGTGGCGGCCTCGCTTACGTCTGAGTTCGCGTCACTGCGCCGCTGCCTGAGCTGGGTGGGGCCGGGCCGGGCTCGATGCCCACACTGCAGCCTGTACGCCCTGGGATGGACGCCCGGTCCCTCACGCGCACGCCCGCTGCTCTGAGGCCCTGGCCACCACCTTCCCGGCACTCCTGCAGCAGGGCCCACAGCAGGCCCAGGACCCACAGCA